AGTGTGGCTGAGGTCCACTCATGTTAGTGTAAGTCCATTATGCATTGTGTATGCCATTTCATTTCATAGCATTGCGTATGCAATGTTGTATGTTAGAGCATGGTGTATGCCTCGTTACATCGTGCATTGTGTGGGCCATTTTATAGCATTGCGTATACTAGGTTGCATGTTAGGATTGCATTCATGCTTGTCATGCATATTGCATTGTGCTTGGGATAGGAGTTAGCCCAAGCACGGGAAACGAGGGATGTTTCATACTCCGAGTGGCGGAACGTGTCTCAATTCTCGATCGCCAACACTCCGGATTATCCATGATGGAGTCTAGGCCTTGTTGTGTCCATATGTGCATTCATTTCATATTGAGTCATGCAATTCGACTTCTCGGCCATCATGCATCGAGATGCGTGATTGGTGGCATGAGGATCGAGGACTACACTCCCTGAAGAGTAGTCATGCATACATATGTGAAAATACTTTGCCATGCCCCTTTGTTACTCTCTGTTGCAGCAAATCAAAAATTAGCAACCTTCCGGAGCCTGGCATGCATCCCAAGAATAATTACAAACAGAGGCAAACCGGGGCATCGCAAGGGATTCTCCGCACAAGGCAACCCGAGCATGCATCATTCATCATTTGGAACAGAGCTGAGGCGGTCCATGGATTTGCGTGCCAATTTACTGCTTTTCTAGATTAATTTGTTAATTAATTAGGATTCTGTATTTATTCGGGACTGTATTGTTTATTCATTTGGGACTGTATTATTTATTCGGACCCTCTACGCGAGGGCAATGCTGTAATAAGTGTGCGTGTGTGTGATGTATGTCTTCCAACCCCACGTCTTTCTCTCTTTTAATTATCAGCTTATGATGGTTAGATTAGGGCATGTTTCAATTAGCATACAGTATGATAGCATGTTTGCATTCATTCATCTGTCTTGCATGCACCGGGCTCGGCGCATCATACTAACTGCATTTGTATCTCAATTCCAAGTTGAATACATGTTAGCTGTAGCATTTCACATGGCATCTTTAGAATAGCTGAGCCTATCTTAGTTGCATTTTGCATGTGTTGCATTAGGCATTTTTGTATAGTTAGGATCATGCATGGATTTCTAACATAGCTTTTGTTTTGGCTTGGAGTACTCGGTAAGTATTTATGCTTTAGCATCCTTGCATGCGTGTGAGTGACTGCCATGATAGCATGCTTACCATGAGGCTATATGCTTATGTGATATAACTGCCTGAATGCCTATGGGTGAAGGTTGGGTTATTTGAATTGGAACAATTCATTGACCGTGAGTTTTAAGCCCACTAGATAGTGGCAAAATCATGTTTTCTAATCCCATCCAAAGGTGGCAAATCCACGTCTTAGCCTACTTGCGGGTAGCACCATCAAACCATTTTCAAATAAACAAACATGAAATGTTTTGTTCCAATTCAGGCGCCCCAGTCTATACTTGTATGTTGTGCGCATCACATAGTAAATCTAGGCTAATAACCGAAATAAGAACGCATAATGTTTCCAAAAATAGATATCATGGTTAGTAGAGGCCGATCTTTGATCGGGCGAGCGGAGGTGCTCATGAAGTGACCTTCCCCAATCGTACCCAAGTTCCTGAGCCGAGGCAACTTTGGTGATGACGGACACGTGGCCTTAGGCAAATGAGTCAGGGTTTCCTAAATTTTCCCAAAATAAAACATTTAGGTGGCGACTTTGTATCTGGCAAAGCAGTCCATGTTTGGCACTTCTTTCAAAATCTGTTTTCTCAAAACGATTTGTCGGATTTGGACTCTTTGGTTCAGATTTAGAACCGTGACAATTTGAGAGTCCGAACTTGTAGTGAGCCCAAATGAACAGAACGGGACTCATCCTCCCGGGGCATTCGGGGACGTCTACACCTTCTTTTCAATCCTGTAAGAGTGTAGTACTCTTAGTGTTTTTTGGACTTAGAAAGTTTGTGTAAAATCCGTAGAGGATTGCTCCATCTGTGAAAAGGTTACTAGCACCATGTGAAGCTAGAGTATAGTGGAAAATCTCAGGTGAAGCTTGAGAAGTGGACGTAGGCTGAGTTGAAGCCGAACCACTATAAATTTGTTTGCCTCTCTCTCCCTTATCTCCTTATTTTATGTAAATTGTCATAGCTATAATTCACATTTTCACTGTGCTAAAATCATTAACTGACATAGTTGTTAGAACACTTATTTTAATTATTTCTATTTCATTAACTATATTTATCTATTGTGCTAGTCATAATTTTTATTAGGGTATTATTATTTTTATTTGTAAAAACCTAATTCACCCCCCTCCTTTAGTGTTCTTATGGTAACACATATTGGCCAATCGTGACATTCACCAAGGGCGCTCCGAATTCGGAGGCTTATCCGGCCGAAACGTGAACATGCACGAAGGGCGCTTCGAATTCAGAGTCTTTGTATTGGCCAATCGTGACATCCACAAAGGGCGCTCCAATATTCAGAGGCTTATTCAGCCCAAACGTGAACATACACGAAAGGCACTCCGAATTCAGAGTCTTTGAATTGGCCAATTCGTGACATTCATGAAGGGCACTCCGAATTCGGAGGCTTTGTATTGGCCATTGTGATATCCACCAAGGGCGCTCCGAATTCGAAGGCTTTTTTCATTATTCAAACAATTTTAACGAGACGGCGATAAAAATGGCACTGCATTGCGGAATTCGTAGATGTGTACATGTTAGCATAACAAAAATCAAAAAATGAACTAGCATGTTGTACAAGTTGATTAATGATAAAATTTGCGCAATGGGTTCAAATTCCATGGGCGTGGCAACTTCTCTAGCCATGTCTGAAAGCCGTATATGCCCCCGTTCCGACAATCGAATCAATCTGATAAGGACCGTCCCAGTTGGGGCCTAATTTACTGTCTGTCAGATTCTTAGTAGCAAGAAGCACTTTCTGAGGACCAGTTCTCCAGGTGTATAACGACGGAACTGCACGCGCTGGTTATTATGACTTGGCGAGCTGCTACTGATACTGGCACCATAAACGCAAGAGCACGATCTCAACGTTTCTTCAATCAAAGTCAAATCTAAGGCCACATCATGTCATTACGGCCCATGTCAAAAACCTTGGATTTCAGTGTGGGCAGGCTGATTCTAAGAGGGATAATAGCCTGTGTCCCAAAGCACAAGCGAATGACGTTTCTCCAGTAGACCACCTCGGAGTGGTGCGATGAGCCCACAACACACTGGGCAATTCTTCAACCCATCTATCTTTTGGCCTTTTCCAATCATTTCTTGATGCCATCCAGGATCATCTTTATTGGAGGTCTCAGCCTGACCGTTGCTTTGTGGGTATGCCGGCGAGGAAAAGTACGGTCGGATACCATATGTGTTACATAACTCCTGATAGATGCCATAATAGAATTGGGTGCTGTTTGTCGGAGACAAGTGCTCTCGGTATGCCAATCATGTTATATGTTTTTCCAACAAAATGTTTAACATCGACATCTCGAATATATGTTAATGCCTCTGCTCGACCCACTTTGTAAAATAATTTGTTGCGACGATCAGAATCGCTTGTTCCTTGGAGCCTGCGTGTAATTGCCTGTGATAAAAGTCCATTGCGCAAGATGGCCAAGGGCTAGTATGGAATTAATTCTTCAGCAAGTAGATGAGTTATATGGGGAAAACTTTTGCGACTTGTTTCGCACTTCTTTACGTAAGTTCTGGCATTTGGTTTCTCATGGTTGGCAATAATACTCCTACATTATTGCTGCGGTGGGCCGATGCGCCATCCTCCAGAGGTGGGCATATAGCTACCTCATTTATTTCTAGCCCAGAATGTTTCTCAACTTTGTCTGGGTGAGACACATTTCAGATACAACTAGAGAGAGATTTTTTGTAAAGTCTTTCCTGCAGATCTAGATAATATCAAGATTATTTTTGG